TTCTTCAATGCTGGCTGGCTTTGTGGCCGGTTTAGACCAGATGGTCTAATATCGAACTGTTGATGGTTTTTACTACGCCTTTACTTAGCCATACTGGGAGATGTTCTTGAACGAGCACGAAAAATCAAGTTCCTAGAGCAACGGTCAATAAAACTCGCTCCACCACAAGCGCAGTTGAATTGGTAAATGCAATTTGAAGTAGAATGTCTAGGTACTTCATCTTTCAGTCGAGGAATCATCATCGGTCGTGTAGTGAATAAGACGTGTAGTTCACCAATACTACTGCCCTGGCCGGCTTTCAGTAGAGACTAGAAATTTATGGATTTGTAATATTATCCTTCCTAATCGTTTCCTCTGACATTCAGTTTATTGTTATGTTGATGCTATTGAACTGTAATCTGTTGATATTATTATTGATTCAATGCTGTTAAATAACATTAATGTTGTTCGCAACACTTATTCATCTATTCACTATAATGTATATATAACTGTAGAGCCTGATGAAGAAGGCGTTATCGAAAAGAGTATTCTTTGTTAGTAATATTCAAATTTAGACATATTTTTGTTCAATACTTTCAATATTGATGAAAATATAAGACAATATATGTGTGTATGCCTGACGTTACAATAGTTCGTTTCATTTTTATCTGCGACAGTTACATGGTCTTAGCTCAATAGTGTCTTTTCATGAACTGTCAGACCAAAATCAATACATATATATATACTTTGTGAATGATTCTATTAGATGTTGAAAGTACAAAGGGTTTTTTCAGTCTGTCGAGAAGTATCAAATCCTGTTGTCTGTTTCCCTTTGATCATATATTTGCTGTTCCTCAAACAACGTCACGTTTTTTTTTGAAAAAAATTCATTCCAGGTGATTAAACACCGACATAAATTCATTAAATTATGAAGGCAACTGGAAACGTTTTTAGTATACTCTAGTCGAGTTTTGAAAGCTGACTTATGAATCATATTTAGTGTGTGTTTACGAATATATTAGAGTTAGAAAATCCATCGTATTTCACATTTCTATTCATAAATATGTCCTTCGGATTCCCCCTACATTTTGCTTTTTATTCCTTTACGTTCCCAGTGGAACATAGGGCTTCAAGCTAAAGTGGAGAGGTAGCTAGCCTCATGCCCAACCTTCCCTCTTTACCAGTCTTAACACTGGCTAAGCGGCCGGGGATCGAACCCCGGACCACATGAGGCGTGATTAGCGAGTATCCTACCGCTGCGCCACCGGTGCAAAAGCGAAGAACAGGATGTCGCTGCCAGGATTCGAACCTGGGTTAGTGCGACCACAACGCAATGTCCTAATCACTAGACCACATCGACGACTATCCCTGTATGATTTTTCTTAAAACTAAGAAACATTCTACCTGTTAAACTAACTATTAAACTGATAACAATTTAATTTGAGGTAATAAATAGTCGACTAAAAATTTCCACTTGCCCGAGAAGAATGACTGCTTTTCTGGTTTTAATACAGATGACGTCCACAAGTGTTGCCAATTCTTAAAACCTATCGAGCCCTTTATTTCAGTTGGAGTGCCTGCCATTATTCTCAGATAATGTGCAGACATTTTGTGTTTTCCTCTTAGCAGTACTTTTAATGAATCATTTTCTACAGGTGTTGTGCCATCTTCTTTTGGGAGGATATTTAAAATGGTTCTTGTATCTGAGTTATCAAGTGAATAAAGTGTTGGATTTCAACCCATTGCTGTTACCTCACCACTTTTAAAGATAATTGAAAAACGTTATCTGTTTGACCTTGATCCTTCATTGAAGGATCTAAACGACCCTAAACAACTTTCTTATATGTGTCGTAGGTTTACTTTATATGCCACTGTTGTTTCACATGATAATATTTTCTCTAGTTTAAACAGAGGTGCCATATATGTTCGGTGGATTTTTACAGGTTGGGTCTGTAATCGTCACGCCCAAACTTTCCTCTTTGTCGGGAATGTAACCAGCTAGAGGAGGTAAAAGTGTGCGCCGGCCGGGACTCGAACATGCAGCACCACGTGAACGGTCGGGCAGCTAGAGCTCTACCGCTGAACCCCGACGCACACATTCACGGTAATTCAATTCATATTCCTTGGCATAAATAATTATAAAATAAGATACTGTTAAAAAAATATTTTTATTAGATTTTCTTACATACTATTTATGACACTAAGATAGTAGTAGGCCAAAACTTCTCGGAACAACTCTTACCACCTTTAAATCTCCTTTTATTCGGATAGAATTAAGTAGTTAAAACTTACTCGCTTTCTTTGTAGTTGTAAATGTATTAGATATTTGACTGGTTGGGGAATTTCATAATGAGGTGGTATCAGCTAGAGAAGCATTGGTAAACCAGCTGGGAGTACTGGACAGCTGTTTCAGCAGCCTAGTTTGGGACTCTCCAGCGATACGCACCCACCGTCAGGGTCCAAACCCAAGAACTTCTGGTTACAAGGTGAGCTAGCCTGTAGACCATTTAGCCACTGGGACCCTATCCAATGAATTGCCAGTGTATGAATTCTAACTTCTACCAATTCATGACATAGTATGACCACTAGCCAATGTCGTCTTCGATGAGTTACTGCCTCACTTTCAACCTGCTATAGCTTTCCACTAGAATTCCAGGTAACTGCCTGAATAGGGCCAGTCACTAGTCAGCATCATATCAATTTTCAAGTATCGGATTTGTAGGGATTTTTGTTTGATTGGCTGGAGAATTTCATCATGAGCTGACATCATTTGTTTCTTCAAGACTCTATTTCTTCTGCTTATCGTTTAGGAATATTAGGTAAAATATTTCCCACGGTTTCATTCTTACAGTCGTGTATTCGTTTTCGTATTATGCGGACAAAGTTAATATAGTGAAAAATGTTGCCAACTATAGATTTGCAGAGAATTCGTTACAAAATAACAGTGGTTCTTGAATTATTAAAATCCAGGAAGAACTGGATATCTATTCCCCATTAGTTCAAAACTTATCAATAAAATCTCGTTATTCGTCTGCTATTTATTAGCAGTTACAAGAATTTGTAGTAAGGAATTTCAGTGATTGAAGTCTACCATGTGAAGCAAGTGTTCATTGACCACATTGGTTGGCAGTAATGGTACGATATGGTTAAATGAGAGAAGATAGAATTCACTTGACATCAGATACTACTCCATTGGCTTAATTATCTACCGGCTTACCTCATAACTTAAAGCTTGTGGGTCCTATCTCTCATGGTTCTTGTCACTGAGAACCCCCTGAATTATCCCATATATCAAGAAACAAAGTAGCTCCCCAGTGCTCTTCCTTTTTTAATGACAAAATCGACTCCTGAAGAAATATACAGAGAGAAAAAATAATTCCGAGAGCCACTAAAAACCAACAGGAAGTACTGAACATGTGTTTCATCAATTCAGTCTGGGACTCTTCAGAGGCACGCACCCACCACTTGGGTTTGAACACAGTACCTTTCGGCTGCAAGACACTGGCACTACATCCAATGACCAGATGATAAATTCCAAATTCTGTCAGTTCACGATACAGCGCCATTGACACTAGGCAATATCATCTGTAAGTGTTTGTCCTCACAGCTGACCGACCTTCAGTACACTGTATGTCAGGGAAGTCGTCCACTTCATCGATTACTGAGGCTGGTATCCATCAAGGCGCTGTACTTTCTTGTTTTCTCTTTTCTTCCTTTTTACATAACTTGCCTCATTCTGATGAAATGAACATGAACTCCCAGCTAGACTGTACTAAAATGAACAGCTTTCTATCAGGTGTTAGCGAATGGTCGTAAACTGAATCCTTCCAAATGTCAGACTGTTAATTTCAGCTTCCGATGTAAACGAAAGTTAAATGAAGCTGTTAATTTCTATGACCGTTGCGAAACTGATGATATTGATGTAGAAATCAAGTCTGAAGTTAAGTATCTTGGATTAATTCTTTTTTTGACCTATCCTGGTCTTCCCATGTCTTAGCGATTTCTAAAAGAATATTTCGTCTGACTTTTACATTAAGAAGTTAAGGCACTCAGACGTAACTCAACCCCTCCTCTTACAGTTTGTCAACTCGTGCATCTTACCTCTCCTTCTCTACTGTTCACCCTTATTCTTTTCTGGATTGCTTAGAAAACACTTTGTCATACTTCGTAGAACTCTGAAGAATGTCAGTAGGGTGAGAGGTGGTATCCCATTGTGTCATATCGTTGACATTGTCATTGATAGGCACTTGATTTCATGCAACAAATTTGCTAGAGGAATCTTATCAGACCGTGAGCATCCACCTCAACACCCGCAACTCCAACCTTGCGTCACCTCCTCAGGTAAAACAAGAAGTCTTTTCAAAAGACTTTATGCACGTACGTCTAAGTATAAAAATTCCACTATACCATATTTAGCACGTACTTAATGTGATGAAAATAGTGTCAGGCATGAACTAACTAACCTTCTTAGCACCACTAAATAAATCATTTCCTCCACCCTTACAACATCAACCTTTATTGTTATTGTACTTCTTATATTTATAATCCTCTCAATCTTTTGTTTTTATTTGTTTATTTTTTTATTTAAGCTGTATTATAACTGTTAATTTAGTATTTCCCCTCACTGTACTATATCAACAGAACATTAGATTCAATAATCTTTAACATGCTAAAATTTCCAAACTGAATCGACGATACTGTTTGAAACAAACTCACTGTTATTATTATCATTATATTTAATATTCTCAATTCGTACTTCGGATATTTTTGACTTTAACGGAAATGTGGAAAAATTCCTCTAGTTAATTTTGTTTTAATTTTATTTATATTTTCAGTAAATTAGATGCAATATTGTGACAGATGCTGAGAATTCCATTCTGTATTATAAGTACTGTTCTTCTTGGAATAAAGTAGATTATTATTATTATTTTTATTACTTCACTGGTCATGACTTTTCACTAAAGTTATAAAAGTTGACCTCTAACCTTTCATGTCTTTTCCTTTCCTTTTTTTCTCTATAGATAACCTATCTGAACGGTAGTAAACCAGTCGCAGCCCCGTGTGAACGCAATGGTATCTGGCGTAAATTTATTCATGCGCAATATTTAAACTGTGCTACCTTTGAACCGTACAGTTATCTACGTTCCACTTTAACAAATATTGAAATGTATATTTACTTAGATGAAATGTTGAAACGTGCTCACTGTATTGATTGTTTCCACAATGAAGTGAAATCACAACTATCTGGTGCATTGATATCAATTCATGGAGCTGACACTATTCCAAATATTAATGATAAAAGTATCAATTTAAAGCCGGGTACACTGACTGAATTACGCCTGTCGATTGTAGAGAATATTCAACAAATGCCACCCTATGGTAGATGTTCTATGAACCATCCAATAAATTTACAGCTATATGATATGAGTTATAACTATTCCGAGTATGCTTGTCGTCATCTCACTATACAAAATGATATCAATAAACATTGTGGTTGTTATTCCATGGAATATGCCTATAATGAAGATGAAGGTTACGAGCCATGTACAAGTCTTTCAAAATTTATCAGTACATCGGGTTGTAGTCGTCATCAGCTCATGTCATCATCATCATCAGCATCAAATGTAAATAATGATATAAATTCAACTGTAACAAATAAATTTTGTATAGATGAAATGCAAAAATTTGTTCAGCGAATCATGTGTAAAAGTTCAATAACTCAAAACTACGTTCACGGTGCAATACCAAGTTGTACAATGCCGTGTTCATTCTATTCCTATGAATCCGAACAATCCACATCGACATGGCCAACAAAAAGTTGGCAATTAACCTGGTTGAATTCATCACATAATAAAAAATTAGGCATATTCAACAGTACAGAATTCCAGCCATATCATGAAGCACGACGTCAGTTAGAAATAGGCAATGAAATTGAAGCAGCTAATATTCTTGAAAATACAAATGTACTAGAAAGAAAACTACTCGCCGTGCTGATTAATCGTCCAAATTTTGATGTACGTAAAGTGGAAGAGAAAGAAGTTCTCTCACTGACCAGTTTATTATCACAAACTGGTGGATTGTTTTCAATATGGATTGGTTTGTCAATGATTTCACTGGGTGAAGTATTTGAAATGTGTATACGTTGTTATATAAGAGCTAAAAATTCTAGGAATTCCGCAACGTCGACTGTAGCTACTACCTCTGCTATGTCTTCGTGTTCATCATCTTCTTCCAGACCGTCTTCATTATGTCAAGAGGACGTAATGCATACAGTCCAGTGTTCTTGTGGTAATACACTTTCACTGGATCATAATAATCATGTGTCCAGTGCTGGTCATCACCTGGTTTGTAGTGCTCTGTCAAATTATCTCACGAATGATTTGAGTGCATGTGAAAATATTAGTCAAGCAACGGCTGAGGTGAATGTTCAACAGACAGGTCTATCTCCCTTGTCGATCGATGAAAAGAAACATAATGGACATGAAAAATATTCTCACCGTCATCATCAGCCTCATCATCATCAACGACGTCGCCAACATCAACCGCAGCAAAACGTATCCACGGAACTATCAAACGCTTAATAGAGTCAGTTGAAAAGTTTATATACATACAACTTGTAAAACAGAATAAACCAAACATATGCATATATATACATATTAGACACATATGTATAAATTGAACGCATCTACCTACCAACTCAATCCAGATCTTTTGTTATTCATAACTCTATCTTATTAAAGATACTTGTTAAATATTGTTTTGATTGTTCTATTTTACATTATTCTTGTTTCTCGGTGTTCATAAGTGTGTATATGCGAAAAGAAAAAAGAAGAATATTTCAATGATACTTCATTAGTCAGTAGTATGTTTTCTTACTTGCATAGCATATTTGTTAATTATAAGATCCTCATTGTGTTTAATGTCCAACAAAAACTGGAAGACTTACAGGCGAAAACCCGACAAACTAGCTAAATTTTCAAGTAATGGTTTTGTAGGGATTTTTGTTTGATTGCATGGAGGATTTTATCATGAGCTGACATCACAGTTAGAGAACCACTGGAAAACCTGGGAGCTGTTTAATCAGCCCAATTTGGGACACTTCATCAGTACGCACCCAGTGGCTTGGAGGTCTACGAGCTCACTATCCTTGTAACCCCAACTGGTGCGTACTAATGAAGAGCCCGAAACTAGGACGAAAGAGGCGTTCAGTACTCCCAGGTTTTCCAGTGATTCTGTAACTGATGTCAGCTCATGATGAAATCCTCCATCCGATCAAACACAAATCCCTACAGCGGTTAGGACACTCGCTGACCATTCACATGCCCCAGGGTTCGATCCCCGGCCGACGCACATCCAATATCAATAGTCGGCGTGCTAAATTTGGGCTACCGATATCACATGCTGAAAATTCCATACTTGTATCAAAAATACTGTGTAGATTTAAGCTATAATGAAATAAAAAATAAAAATACTTGAAAATAAAATTCCCAACAGTTAATGGTTATCCAAAAGGGTATATCCAAAAGTACGGAAGTTGATAGATGAGACAGGCAGTGAAGATAGGAATTCACGTAAACATAGAGAAGATAAAAAGCCACCAACAACTACAAACACCAATCACTATAAACTGATAAAGGTCACTTACTTCATTAACCAAGCCAGGGCTGGTAAAGTGACATGAATTGATCAAGTGTTCTTGAAAACAGCTACGCAAACCCTTTCTTTCTCCTTTATAAAGCCATACTGGGATGTGTTTTATCATCCGTGGGGAAAGCGTTCTCTCCATACGGAAGATCTACTTCGATTCACAAGAGCAGGTCGACTGATAGATGCACATGGAGGTGGAGAAATGAGAGGGCATATCTTCTATAAAGACGAAGGATAAGTTACAGTCCGTGCACATCATTTGAAATTTTGCAGCAAAGAATATCTTAATGACTTATTTAGAGCGACGAATTTTGAGCAGATATGAAGCTTGATAACATCTGAATTCCAAATTCGTGAATAAAGTTTTCTTCAATAGTGAGTTAGTGAACAGTGTGGACACCTAATATTTCGAATTTTGTCAATAAATATATATTGAGATCACGTCTATGGTGGCTGTCGTGTTAATTCGATCGTCTGCAAATGGTGTTATTGAAAGTGAATCGTGCATTGAGAGTAAAACACAGAAGCAGTTCTATCAACATACTGTTGATATTCCAATGTTCAACTGGTTACCATTGATAAATTTACATATAAAACAGACAGTTTCCGTAAATCTTACACTAGTGAAAAAGGATTCAGTATCGGAAGTTAGCACAATTTTGTTAGTCACATTCTTGTCTTATATGCAACTGATGAATTGGACAGTGACACGAAGTGAGTACATGCATAGACGTTCCATTACACGTTACAGAATATCAGCCAACCATTTCGAAGCAGACTGACAAGAAGAACCAGACATATCTAGGATTGCACTGAATAGGTGACCAATCTTGTGTAACGTTGTGAGCCACGAAATCTTGGTTTTGTTGAACTTGTTGATAGGACATGATCAAAGATATTGCAGCTAACTGATTGACTGATTTACCTTCTTTCCAAGACGTCTGTAAGCTATCTCTCAATCAGTTCAGTTTTTTTCTGACATTGGAACGTTGGAAAAATGTATTTTTCTCAGTGACTATGTACTTCATTTTCTCCATATGATCATGTCGGTTCGGAGGGACACACAAACACCCATGTCAGGATGGGTTACCAGTAGTTCTTTATTGTCTCTGAACTGTTTTAACACTTCTCACTGCCGCTTTGTTAGGTGGTTACAGAATTTTGTCTTTGTACAGAAGTATCGGCTACAACAATCGATGATTGTTGATTTGAATCTGTGTGATTCTTTGTCAGTATTCTGGATACTTTCATGCATTTAGCTGTGTATGAGTATGGAGTTTGTCGACTTTGAGTGTGGTATCGTCGAATTGCTGGCCGAAAGACGGTGCTTCTAGGTGAGAACCAGATCACGATACTCAACAGTAGTTGAACACAAATTGTGTAGTGAATGATTTAATTACGATGTCTTTATCGCACTTCAAGACAACGTCTCCAGCGCATAATTCAGAGTGAAGTGAGAGTTTTAGGAATTCTACCTCAATGACATAAATGCATATCCATATGACCTCAGCTGTGACTACTCACCATCAGAAGTTTAATTATCCTTGTGTTAATTTCTAGGGGCTTTGATCGCCTCACTGCAATTTTCGACGGTTATATCATTCATGTGAAGGACAATGAGAGATTTTTAGTTAAGCCAACAGGCTGAGAGTACACAACCATATCGAAAGTTGAAACTCAGCTACAAATCGCTTCCATTTATTCATAGTGACGACATACACACGATATATTCTGCAAAGCGTATCGTACTGCGAGTCTAAGGTCGATGCCACCACCACCAACACATAACGGTTTTTAATTATTGGGCTGCGGACTTCCACCAACACTTGCTTTCGCTGAATCCATCCTGAAGAACAGTTGAACAAAAACGGATTAACAATAAGAAACTCTGACAAAGAACCAAGTATGAGCTTTTCGCCCAAAAAATGCGCGAAAGTTCACGTAGATGGATTGGAAATCCAGTGAGGACAACAAATCTGAAATGGAAGACACCAAATGGACAGGAGCAATCGTCGAGCCAACTATGAGAGATTGTAGAGTGCAGGGTGAAATCAAGATTTGCTACTAAACACCTATATTCAACTCGGAAACCAAACCAGTAATAGTAATAATAATAAGAATAATATTAACAGAGTGTCCACTCTCAATCTTTCACATGTCGAAAGACACGCACACCAAATTAGCATTTTGCATCTGAGAAAATTTATTCCATTTTTATACGAGAATTCAGTGCGTGACAAAGCATTTAGTCTGCTGAAAAAATGTGAGTCTTAGAAAAAAAGTAATCCAGATTAAATTCTACGAGAGCCGTTTTGTTGAATATCCAGCTCAGCTGAGTGTATGTACTCCGTATTGTTGTATTCATTAGGCTGAATGGTCGGTGTGTGAATCTGCTACTGTCTTTCCAGAGAGCGTATTCACAGATGACTTCTGTATGAAACTAGGATACAGTTTATTATTGAGAAGCAAGCTGATCACGCAATCACACTGAGATTGAAATAGTAGAACAGGATAGGGGCGCCAATGCTGGACTTGGACGCGTTAGTCATGAACACCGCTTGACTACACCAACAAATCTATACGACAACTGCCTGTTCACCAGAGCGCACTACTTAAACGAGAACACAGAGCACTGTTAATCACAAAGCATATATTACACAACGATGTATGATATATAATATCACCAAGGATATGTCAATTGTCCTGTCATCATGACCAATGAGACAGTGGGTGTTTTCTCATATCCAGAACGAGCATCAATCACTTACGTGGGCCAATACTCAATCTCTGATTTCTAGACAGCATATCGATCACCATATCACCAAAACAGAACAATCCATTGATTATCTGTCTACATTTCACAGTCACAGCTGAAGACGTTGTCCCAGAGGAAAACGGAGCCTTCGCAACAGATCATCCAGATAAGAGAAGGCGATAGCGCTATCTATCCACAACACATTTCACTCTTGAAAAACAAAGCTAAGTAAAAATGACATTCACCCATGCCTCGTGATCACAATAAATCAGCAATAAATTTTAATTTTAAGGGCAAAGGAGATGAATTTTGATTTTATTCTCCAAACAATCTAATCAAATTTGACAATCTATTTTGCACATCACAAGCAATGCATAGCTCAAATGGATGAGTAAAAAATGTTTATGTCTGAAGGTTATAATTTTGGTGATGTCACTTTCTCAGGGCTGAATTATTAAACTGTAAAAGTCCCATCCACCCATTCAGTCTATCTAGACAGTACAGATAGTAAAATCTGGTTACTGTGGTAGCAACTGCTCCCACATTAATTTTTCAATCCCAAATATCACACGGTCAGAGGAACAGTATAATTTATTTGGATAATGTGATTTCGAACTCAATTTATTGCTGTTCGTAATCACGTCAATTATAATCACACAACTTCGTTTTATAGTTTTCTTGATTTTTTCCGACTCGTCATACGGGTAGTTAAATTTTCCAGCATCGCTTACAGTGCAAGAATAAATGGCACCCGCCCTGCCACTCCAAGAATATCAACAACCTTTGTCGTTAAGTTGATACTGTGGATGGCAGGCAATCTAATTTGCCTACTTCCCTGCTGGAATGATTGTTAGGTCAGGTCAAAGCAGCAGAACGGCGGCAGTGAAACTGGTGAAACATCACAAAAACCTAGCAAAATCGACAACATTTGACCAGAATAAGATTAGAAATCGACAGAACAGTTCAGCTATTGCACACTACACGCAATTACACACACAACTATACAATAGAATGGGATAACATGACACTTCTAAAATCTAAAATAACAAAGTGCAGTGAGAGATTGATATGAGAAGTTTTATTTGCCATATCAACTGAAAATACTTGAAATAGGGATAATTCAACACATATCCACCCGGACATCTGGAAAATTCCACTACCTCTGTGACGAATGGGAAAGAATAAAGGGAACTATGAGATGGAAGTATCCAAGTTGTGTGTTCATAATTG